TTTTTTGGGAGAGAAAACCCCTTGACGAACTAGAGAGAATGATTGCGATTGAACCCACGACCGCAGGGTTTAATAACATTATTTTTTTTTTTGGAATTTTTCTCGGAAAAATATCCAASAAAGAATTAGCTTGATTTAACATAATTTATATCTCTAATAACTGTAATTTACCAAGCGCAAAAAGGTCTAATATTAATAATTTTACTACTGTTATCGTTTCAGAATCTTCCCTTCAAGGGYGGAGTTGGGCAGTGTTTTAAATCTATAATCGTCATATGTGTWAACCTGAATAAACAGTAGTTTGTTCTCATAAAAGTTGTGTTGTTTTAGTTGTTTGAGGCTGGTATGGATAAAGRAAGCTCTGTCAACACACGTATGCCCAGTGTTACTGTTGTGAAACAAGGGTGAGACAGTTTGTTATAGACCAATGACGTAAGACCTCCCTCCTGGGTTGTGTATTGGGGTAGGTGATGGTCTGGACAAACACCACTCGTACCAGACCTTCTTGGTGGTACACTTTCTCCACATGTGYACTGTGATGGGTGAACCCTTGTCTACGTACATCGGAACCTGGAAAAAATAAAATAAAATAAGATGAAATGAAATGAAGCAAAACAAAACAAAACAAAACAGTGTCAATTGTAGTGTCAATTGCTGGGTTTCAATCAGCTGCTAAACGTATTTGAATCTCATTTTCTGCTCCAAATAGCGGTCAAACACTGAGCACCACGTATTGACAACCAGAAATAAAGTGATTGAAAACTTGCGATTCAGCTGAACATTCCACACAAGACAGGAAATGAATTCAAGTGAAACSCAGGGATATGGATTACAAACCTGTACTGGGAAGTAGAAGGGAAACCAGCTGAACATGCCATCTGAATGGGTCTCAGGGTGGATACCTATAAAGGACCAACCGTATTGATATATTGATCACTAGATACAATAATATAACTTCAATAGGTAGCATGCACCAATGGACTACTTCGACGATACGACGGCCATCTTGCCAGGGGACAAAACAAAAAAAAAGATGACGTAAATATATAGAGTTTCGTGTGTTTGTCTTTCTTTTATGGATAAAGGTGATAAGTGAGCTGTTGATATCAATGGACGTCATTACTGTAACGGTGCTTACTGTAACGGTGCTTTATTTGTTCCCTGGACGCCCCAATGACGTCAGAAGCACCTCAAGAATTCTTCGTTTGCACATGAAGTCATAGGCGCCATCTTGGTTGAATTTAACAAAAGGATTGTCAATGAATTCTTTTGTCATATCGACCAACATGGCCACCATGTYTTTGRTTATATTTCACTCCTTCGGGAATGATCGAAAACTAGCAATAAAGAAATCATGCTCAAGAGAATTAAACARAAAGAATCAATTAATTGATATGAGCACAAGGGTATGCTTGTATAGCAAAGGAACTTACTAATTTTGACGTCTTTAAATAGAGTGGCTTCAAAATAACCAGCGAAGCCGTGGATCATCGCACTGGTGTCRACGTCAAAGTTCAGTGTGATGTAACGAGAATTGTCGAATGTTTCTGCCAAACAATCAAAATATTAGTAAGCATTTGTGGTCATAATACAAGGTAGTGATCATTGGTGATAATCGTAATGATGATGGCGATCTCGATTATGGTGGTGATGATAATGGTGGTAATGATGATAGATGATGCTGATGCCGATGATGATGATGATGGTGGCGATCTCGATTGTGGTGGTGATAATGATGATGATAGTTATAATGATTGATGCTGATGCCGATGACGATGCTGGTTTTGATGCCTATGATCATAGCGACAACGATGGTGATGATGATGATGATGATGCTGATTATGATGCTGATGATTATGGCGACAACAATGGTGATGCTGCTGCTGCTGCTTATTGTGATGGCAGTGATGATGACTGGATAATGACTATCATGATGATGATATTAATCGATAATGTGAAGATAATATAGAAAGTAAGTATGATGATGATGATGTAATGAGGAGGAGGAGGAGGAGGAGGAGGAGGAAGCAAAGGATGAGGTGGCGACATGTCTCGGGAGATCCCCAGGGAACTTAGGGATATGAGAGACACCAGTATTCTAGAGGTTAAAATAGGGACAGGAAATAATAAAGGGATGCCTCGGGGATCCCCAAGGGATGTTAGAGACAGTCCTTTTGGGACAGGGGACATCAGAGGCCTTCCCCGGACATGTATGCGACGGCAGCGGTGGAGAAGAAGTACAAGGATGAGAGGGTAAAGCATTGCAGAACATAATACCATTACGACAGAAATAACAGATGATGGCGGTAATCACAATGACCTGTAATCCAGAACTAAATTCGATTAAAAAAAGAAATACCTTTGTTCGGATGGATGAACGTAAAACATTCTTGTGGTTTGGATAACTCGTACACGTTGTGTAACCTCACCACGTAAGGGGTCTCAAACGGTGCCTTCAAATAATCAGCCACAATACAATTATTTACTACTCAAAAATAAGTATAGGAAAACGCACGAATTCTAGTACAATTTAGAATTTATAGGTACGAGTTATGTTTTAAAAATTTTCAAAATTGGCACGAGCCTTTAAGCAAGTCCGATTTAAGAACTTTCAAAGCATCACGAGTATCTATAAATTCAGAATTGTAAGAGAAGATTGTGCGATATTTTGTTTATAATACAATCAACCAAACTGAGCAACTTAATTGGGACTCTAAAGAGTACAATTTGGGATTTAAATCACTCCTCTTGTCCAATCAGAATCGAGTAATTTTGTCGAGTAAAAATTATAAATTATATCATAAATGCWAGGTAAACAGGGTGTTTTCATACAAGTTAGTGTCCTACCTGAGGTCCTTTGTTATCCACTTTACTACCTTGAGACAATTCATTGTGYAGTTTGGGTGCGCACAGTGGAGAAAGATATGAAGTATATGCCGATGGGATACTGATACCATCATCTAAACAAAACATAATGTGAGAGTGAGTGAGTTTACTTGGACCTGATCACAAGGATCCTGGACTCCAAGTTTTTGTAAATTTCTTTCAAAAGTTATCGCTTCTTTTCTTCAGTCGATGGCATTTTTTCCGTGCATTCAACATTAGACGCAATCAAATAAATAATGTCCATGTACCTTGTCACTTTCTTCTTGTATCTTTACGTATTATAACAAACTGCCAACTTATCTCGATCAGCGCGCAGAGATGAAAAAATTGGTAAAGCGGAAGTAGGATCAAAACATTTAATCTCCATACTAGGATCAAGTGCTTACCCTTAAGGAAACGTTGCGCRCCATCTAAACATTCTGGAGACAATTCATTATCACCAAACGAACCCAGCAACTCGCTGACCAGGATATCAGCCTATAAAACAAAACACAATCGTATCATATACTTCAGACTAAAACTGGAACGACCAAACGAACGAACGAACGACCGACTGACCGACCGACCGAACGAACGAACGAACGGACGGACGGACGATTTCGATTTTTTCGGAGAGAGGAAAATTGGAGAAACCACATAGAAACCCCCAAAGCACAGGAGAGGACCCACACATAACTCTACTTACATACGACGCCGAGKCCRGGAATCGAACCTGGGTCGCATWGGTGAGAGACGAAYACTCTTATCGCTATAATACCCATGCTTCYAATGTTTTCTATTATATTTCTATTTGCTGTTACCTTTTCAGGCGGTTCACATTCCCTCATGTCACAGGATATGACTGTCACTCTGTCACCCCACTCTTCTTTCTTTAGAGTCTCTAAACTAAAGGAAAAAACAAAATTGCTTCCTCATTCACTGGCCAACATGACTTGAGTTGACTATATGCTAATATAGTATGGAACACCCCTCCCCTCCCCTCCCCTCCCACTACATGGAGCACTGTAAGAGTAATATGTCGTATAGGCTGGTTTTCATTAGTGACAGAAATGGGGTCGGAAGCAGATTATGGCAAAGTGAAAATCAGACAACGGAATCGCAATCGAAGTCAGATCAAGAGATTTCCTTTTTTAACTCATGCAAAGMTTTGAAACAAGTTATTGTGAGTCCAAAAATATTGTCTGAAAATGCTAAGGCATTACTCACTCAATCGTTTGTAAGCAGATTTATATTTAAATTATCAATCGCCTTAGCCGTCTGCTTTATGAATGTTTTACAAAGTTAATTTCTCGTCTTGGATTGTGGTTACGCTTATGATGAGCGGTTTTCACTTGGATTGACATCATGATGCAGGTACTGCTTACAACACTAGTTGACCTCCTCGGCTTGGGTGTAATGTTGTCCCATTTCAGTGTCATTCCCTAGAGTATCCTTTCCTTGTTTAACGGTTGCGCTCGGTTGCAAATGAGAAGACACATGAATATGGATACAACTCCAACAAAGAATCTCATTCTCAAGGGAATGACATGTGGTCTGAAATAGGGCAACATTACACCCAAGTAGAGAGGGTCAATACAGGCGCAAGTAAAAACTAGTGTTAATAGTTTAACTCACGTGACAACAGCATTAGGATTCTTYTCCACAGCATACACCCTTACTTTACGACCTGACTCTTCACCTGCTACCAGTGATGCTCTTACCAAGGGACCACGACCAGCACCTACTACCATGATTACCCTATTACATATGAACACTAATTTTAATACCTTTCTAAGAAAGACTGGTAATGACTTAAGGGTGCAAAGGATTGTGGGAATGAATGTGGGGACGCGTTGTCCCAAATTCAAATTCTTTAAATTTTGAAAAGGGAAAATGGTGCGGGTTATCAGCTTAGAGCAATCTGTGTCTTTAGATCTTTCCAGCAGACCTTTTACAGTCATTGTCTATGGTATGTTTAGAATTAGCGTCGCAACAAAGTAGGCTTTGGTGGATGTCAATTAATGCRTTTCCATGATGTTCCACAGCCATGTGCTTTTGGATATTTTGTGTTTTCCGACAATATAATGAAAACAATTTGATTGGCATCCATTAAACCTTATTCGTCGGGAAGTCAAATTGTACAATTGAGAATAATTGTAAGTTTTTGTATTATGCTTGTATTAATTTTATATTCGAGTTGCATTGATAAATCTTACCAGCGTTAGTGATAAAGAAGACAGTCGATAAAGAAAGACATAATACTCAAGAAAACAACATCCGGTTTGATATACAAACTCACGTGACGATATCATTCTTTTTCTCATCCGGAACGCGGTCAATGAGAGCTTGATAAACAGCCTGGAATAAAATAAATGGATAAAATTCATCAGAAGAAAAATGGGTAATTTACGAAAGGTCCTGATGGGATAAAATTGGAACTGGCATTCACTTTTGTGGGGTAATGAGAATGAAGCTATATTTGTACAGCAAGGATGAATAACGGTGGCTAATGTTGGCATTCAATACACTTTGCAAATTGGTTGCAAAGTTTTTTTAAATGATTATTCAATGTGGCAGGTCAAGAGGACCCAGCCCCCCCTTCTCTAGTGGGAGGTATTTCACCAGACTAGTACCAATTCTGCCTGGACATTGTCTGGTGACAAGCACCATTATTTAGACCTTAAATATGTGGCTTTATATAATCAGAAGACTGGGATTCCTCTATAAATTGTCTCACTTGGACTAAAAGTCTTCTCAAATTCATTAATGGTACTGGAATTTTGGCAAAACATAAGCTTGGAAATGGGACTGAGACCCTTGTTGCAGGACTATGTCACCTTCTAGACTAAGTTGCACGTTTACAAACTGTTAAATGCTATAGTATATATACCTTCTGATATTCTGCATACTTTACAGGATCTCTCTCAAAAATTTCATACGTTTGAGATTCAAGGTTATCTGAAAGAGGCTGATATAGGCAGTGCATTTAGTCAATGCATCATCCACAGCAAACCATCACACAAACTTTGGGAAATCAAGGATGGTGCAGCATTGGTGGATTCTCCTCACCTCTGGGGTCTATTGGGTTTGATTCCTGAACTATGTATCACACATGAGTACAGTTTGTTAGGTCTTTCGATGATTCAATGGTTTTTCTGTGGGTTCTCCCTAGTGTTTAGTGTCATACTACACATACTACTGTATACCTGAAGAGGACATTGTAGATAATCCTCATAACCCTTGGCAAACTGACTGACATCATCCAGGGCAGGTCTAGTCTAGAACATGTACAAAAAAATGCTTATCATGACATTCAATGTTTATAGATATCAATATCTAGCCAATAGGCCTCTGGTTGATACATTAATATCAATAGATAACATCAGTATAGACATTGCTGCAATAGAGTACCAAAGTGTGACGTCATCAAATTACAAATTTTGCAATTCAGTTTTGAAATGTTCATATTTGAAGAGAACACACCTAAATATCTGTCAACTTTCATGCTCTTCTCAGCTTTAGAAATGGAGATATTGGGTATTTAAGCTCCAAAAATCCCCATACATTTAGTTTCTGAGAATGTCACCAAAACCCTAAATGTCCTTAAAAACAATTTCTTGACGCCATCACTTTGGTACTCTATAGGCCATCAATTTCATGCTTACCTGGTATACATGTTCTAGGTACTGATAGTAAAATCCAATTCCCTAGGAAAAAAATAGGAATCTTTCATAAGCAATTCCTTTATTGGTATTTTTTCTTTATAAATAGCCATGGGTTATTGAGCGTAATAATACTGCTTTGTTTACAATTCATATCACAAACTAAGGGGTTTTAGCTTGATCAACCTATGTCTCTTCACTCATCCTTCATTACAGCCTTTCAGTTCCATAATGGCTAGACCTTTAAGTCTTCTCGGACAAGCACTTCAAACCGTAGGCCCCGGTCTGTCTTCACTTTATAACCCTGTATAAGGGGGACGTAAAAGACCCACTGAAGATGCTGGTGACGACCATATTCAGTGCCTGTGCTAACACTACAGGGCCCACAGTAATTGGCTATRTATGCTGTTGTGGTGTCCCTGCCCTCACGGGAAAATAAATAAATAAATCATAGATGAARCAAACCACAGGAAGCCTAATTTAGATGAGAAGAAAGGTGAAAGGAAAAAAACCTTCTTTATTGATTGCCTTATCGTATTTGAGGCCAAGATGTGTCCTTTGTTACAAACGTGATCAGTAAAAGCAAGAAAAAATGCACTGGGCTATTTTTTTCACATGTTTTTGTTTTCCTAASATCACCCTATGGTGCTCTACATGTAATATGGCATGTATATGCAGAAATACAGTTTCTCTATACTTTAAACAAACAGACTACAAGATCATATTCCCATATTATAAGTATGCTTTCATTATCTTATCACAAAAAGTTTGTTCATACAGTATTTGGAAAGTGTGTGTGTCAGATAAAACAGTATAAAACATTGAGATATCCAATATGTTTAATCTGTGTTTGTATGTTAATATTAAACCAAGCTTTGGGCAGTTAGTGTCTTTAGGATTATGAAAGTACATGTACAAAATCCATCTACATAATTAATGGTAAAAGTATTCCATTTGAAATAAAACTACCTTGGACTTCCTGTGGAGTTCACACACACACTCAAACAGATGACATAGTGGGGTTTCCATATTGGCTATCAGCTCCATCATTACTTCTGAAGTAACCACACCCATCCTCCCCAAAAAAAGTTTGACTAAAAAGACTAAAAATTATACACATTCTTTACTTTACCTTGTCTTTGTGTTTAGAACAACCAGATAGGATAAGCTGTACATTCAACTGTGGATTTGACAAAACAAATTATTTATTTTAGTGCAAGATGTAAAATTCAAAAACTGTACTAAAAGCAGTCATACCGTAGAACCACACCAATGTTTCTACATTTCAGACCATGTGTTTAACAAATTGAGATCAGTTTTTTATGTGTCTGTCCTTTTATTAGCGAAAAATTTTGTCCTCTCATTGTCAAAGTAGTGTTGATCAAAGGTGGTACTTTAACAATGTGATGATGAAATTTATCGTCAATAAGAGGACAGACACATATTAAAAAACAAATGTCAATTTTGTTTTTTACAATAACAAAAACAATAAAAACTTCTTGTTTTTACTGATCAAAACAATTAAAGAAAAGAGCATGCGCTCTTGACATAAGAAATAACCAATCAGTGCATGAGAAATTATTAGGTTATTGTAAAACATGCCCTTGAGAATTATTATAACAAAATTATCTTGT